TCCTCAGCCCCAGCCTGTATCACAGGATGGAGGCGGCCACTTTCTTCCCCCAGTGGGAATGTACATTTGGGGATGTCCGCATGCCACTCTGCATTGTGGGGGACGCAGCCTACCCCCTCATGCCCTAGCTGATGTGGCCATACACCGGACGCATGGACCCCGGGCAGGAACGTTTCAACTAGCACCTGAACTGGGCCTACAACTAGAGTGTGTGTGCCTTTCGATGGCAGAAGGGGAGATTCTGTTGTCCGCTCACCCATCTCAAAATGGGTGAGCAGAACATCGCTGAGGTTGTAGCAGAATGCTGTGTGCTGCACGACATAGTGGAGTGGAAGGGGGAGGCCTTCCTCCCGGGGCGGATGGCAGACGAGGGCTGGTCATTTGAGCAGCCCTGCACAGCCACCATCCACCAGGCGCACCACGATGGGGTGTGCATCTGGGAGGCTCTGAAGGACATGTTCTCCCAGACCCCACAGTAGGGTTGCTTCTGTCTGCCATCTACATCTTCCTTCCATCCCCAATCCTTCCCTCCCCCCGCCTTCAATAAACAAAACAGTTTTTTGTTTAAACAAGAAGAAACTGTATTTTTATGTATAATAGCTAAAAAGGGTGGGCAGTGGGAGGAGGCTCTCAGCTGGGAGGGGGAGGAGGAAGGGGTTCTCAACCGGGAGGGGGAGCTATTGCTGGGAGGGGCGGCCCCTGCCAGTGTCTCTGTAGGTACGGAGGCCTCGGTGTCTTTCAGGCCGGGTTGGGGCAGGCAGGAGGGGGCAAGGCTATGGTAGCAGGAGGGACAGCTGGAGGGGGCATGGCTTCAGCAGTAGGATGGGTGGCAGGAGGGGGCATAGGCATGGCAGGGAGGGCAGGAGGATGCGGCAAGGCCATCGCACCTGTGGAGGAATTACCCTCACACCTGCTGCCGCCACTCCAGGTCGGCCTGCAGCTTGGTGGTGACTGCTACCTCCATCTTCTCCACGGCCTGGATGTGCCACCAGAGGAGCTGG